CTTTACAGCTCAGATATCCAATAATTCGACGATACATTTAAAAAGTATCGATATACAATGGCTTTATAATAAGCAGCATCTTCCATGTCTGCCAAAATGGCTCGAACCAGCTAAGCAGGAACACGGGGCTCAGATTATGTGTGGCGATGACAAGGACTTAGGTAGCATTTACGCCGTGCTTTGGAGCTAGGCTCAGGTGACAGCACATATACTTAGTCTGTTTTTACAAGGGCATAATAACATTCATTTGTGGTGCAGCACTGAGGCCTTGCAGCTCTGCAGGGCAAAGCCATGGTCACTGTACAATGTGCTTCCATCCTGGAATCCCATCAGCCCCACAAACGCTCGTCCAGCCTCTGCTTGAGTACATGAAGTGGCACAGCACTCACTATCTGCCCGTGGTGCCCCTCCCTTCTTTGGCTGGAAAAAGGCCCCTGAATGAGGGGCAGCCTGTGAGGGAGACCTGAGAGTGGACAGCTCAGGGTTGATTCCTAGAAACCGTCCCTCAGTGGAGCAGGTGTCGGAGGAGGGGACTGCGGCCTGCAGAGGGGCTTGGCTCCCCCTCTCACACCATAGCCCCAAGAGGAGCACAAGAGGTGCAGGAAGCTCAGGGGACAGTCCAGTTCTGACCACAGGTGTTTGTTTGTTTGAGACAGGGTCTCACTAGTTGTCAAGACTAATCTGGAACTCACTAAGTAGCCCAGGCTGGTCTCGAACTCACGCGACCCTCCTGCCTCAGCCTCCCGAGTGCTGAGATTACAGGCGTGCGCCATCATGCCTGGCATCACAGGTGGGTTCTGAATGGGGCGGGACCATGTTCAAAACCACTTGCTTTTGGGCAGATAGCTCAGCTCCCTCTTCTTGCTTTGCTCTCTTCCTGGGCTGTTCAGCCTGGAGGTGAGCAGATTGAGGGGACCTGACCACTGCCCCTGGGTGGGGGAGGAGAGGTCATGATGTCCCTGGGCTTCTAGCAGGACCAGTCAGAGGGGTTGTGGCTGGGAAGCAGATCCAGGTCTGGTGCAGTGAGTGAGATTCCCATCATAAAGAGGACAGAAAGATCTTCCAGAAGGGATCTTCCAGAGGGGCTGGGCCAGCGGTCCTTTGTACCCAGAGGGCCTGGAAGGAGGGCCTCATGGGTGAGCTTCACTGCACACAACCTCGGCAGACACGGCCCTCCTGGTGCTGCCACTCCTCTGAGCAGGTGTGGCCGAGTCAGCACTTTCCACCAGGCTGGGACACAGAACTGGGCTCCAGCAGCTGGCCAGGGCCTGGATGTGGCTGTCCCATACCATTCCCTAAATGCTAGTGGGTCTGAGGGTCTGGCCAACTTCATCCCAGGGCTCCTACAGTTCAGCCGACAAGGTGGGTCTTGGCGGGTTGAGTCTGCCTGCCACCCAGCCCAGGTGGGCTCGGCAGGGACCTGGGGTGCCTCTTCTCCCACCAGCTTCCCGTACTGGGCAGCCGAGGCCCTGCTGGTCTCCCAGCCAAGAGAGGGAGGGAGGGTCGGGATAGGGCACCGGGCCACACCAGGGGCCTGTCCGGGCCGGCTGGCCG